ATCGAGTCTAAATTAGTAACAAAAGTAGGAACGTATTAAAATCTCAAAATCTCTCACATTACAAATACATGTGTAATAAGCGGTATTAAAAAGGTCGCCCATGCTTTTCAAATCTCTAATAAAATTATAATATACTGAGAGAAAAATATTTGTAACTATAATTGGTAAAATAATTATTAAGAGCTCCATTTTCATAGTTACTGCTATATTAGTAACAAAAATTATATTTAGTTCTATATATCAAAAAAAATATATAGTTATATCGAAAATAATTGTAATGTATACTCGTTTTTTCGATGCCAATTAAATATTTTTCTATAAAACTATAAATATAATATTATTACTTTTAACAATAACTATCTATAAAAATAGATCCTAATTATTTTACCATTTAATTATTGCAATTATAGTCACAAATATCAAACATTATTCTCTCAGTACAAAATTATCACGTTAACCAATTTTTAATATTAAAGCAACGAGCACTCGAGACTTCTCCTAATTTTCTTCACCAAACTCGAATTATTTTCCGTAAATATCTCATGCATCGACCGATTTATCATATACGAATCCGGATGCATTGGACGGTTTATTAAAACCTCGCCTCGAGCATCGCATCCCAAATATCTCTCGTACCTATTCCATGCTTGTGTGCATATCAATGCGGCGCCTCGTATCGAATATTTATTTGCGAAAGGATCGATAAATCGCTCTCTTCTACGCATAATTTCGGTCTTGCACATCTTCATGGCGACTCGTAATACGGACATGACCCCGCTCAACCGAATGACAGCTCGGTGGACTCGGATTATTAAGACCGAAATAACTGCTGCGATGTAACGGTCATGGCCGGCAATTAAATTTAAGTACTTACGGATGCGCGCATTTGAGCGGGTGCATCGGACGCGCGCGCGAGCATTTATGAGTGCGAGGAGGTGAATGCATCTGTGAAAACATATATGATACGCGATGCTATCACTTTGTTCGGCGATACATAAAGGATAATTAGCAATGTCAATTAGCAATAAATCCGTAAAAGCAGGTTTTCGTATCAAGAAACAAGTTAAATTATGAAAGCGAATTTTCTGCTTTTCAAAACTGTCCATCAAGTTTAATGCGCTGTTAAAATACATAGACTTTATATATAGATGTAGACTGGTAGTTGCTTATAATAGAAACTATAAGGCATACTCTAAAAAGTATCAATATGGATTTAACACCATTGGTGCGAATTTAACATCCACGTGATATAACGTCTATATAATTCTCATTGTGTTGCTATTATTGACATGGATTTAATACCATGATATTAACCTATTACTATTTTTTATAGTACATAATTAATATTATCTGTGTAAAATATTTCAAATATAGCTTCTGCATAAAAAATAATTGTTCGAAGAAGAATGAAAAAAGAAACATATACTCTTTAAAATTTTTTTAGAGATCTTGCTCTTAAAGGTTGAAAATGGAGCTACTCTTTTTTAAGACTGGCTATTTAATTGACAAAACAAATTATACCAAAAAAGAATACTAGAAAACGAAAATCTCGTTCAGATATTTACAATAGAAAGGAGAAATTCTACTGCGCAGAATGCAATCTCCCTCGAATACAACCCGTGGCTCCATCTTACAATACACGAACTCATCTCCCATTGCTCGTCCGTGGATCACCAGGAATATCTGGATCGCCGTGTTCATCGATCACTTTTGTCACGGGCCGCGCGAGTTTATTTTCAGAGCGAGAGGTGGCGAGAGAAGGGACGATCGTTAACGGCGTCGGAGTGTGCGGGACGTATTTCGCGCTTTTTGTTATGCCTCTTATTATTTTTTTTTTTTATCTGACCCGCGAGACCACCTGTCGCTTTACGCCGGCAATTATGTTCGCGCGATTGCGAACGGGCGCAGGACAAGCGCAAACTTTAATCAGATCTCGTGCGATCTGTCGCGAAAGTTCGTCGCGAACGCACGTTCCCAGGAACGCGCGCTGCCGCGGCGGCTTCTACGACGATGGAAAAGAAACGTAATCGCCCAGGCCAACGAACAACCATGGCCTCGGCTTCAGGGTCGTTTCGACTATTATCCCGCAGCAGTCGAGGATGCAGCAGAAATGCATCGTTCGGAGGCCGCGCTTGATACATCCGCTCGAAACCAGCGATACTCACGATTCAATATTAGAGTACCATATATACAATGATACACCGTACTTTGATTATCAGAATATGAATATATCTTCCTTCGATATCTCGACTTAACATATCGTATTTTTTAGGCTAATTCTATTGTAAATTTGAAATGCTGATTACAAGAAGATTCAATAATTATGTAATATCCTTCCTGACTTTAATCATTACATAATTATTGGATCTTCTTGTGCGTAGATATCAATTAATTGCATTAATTTTCTTGTCAGTGAATTTATGAAATCGTTTAAAAGAAAAATAGAAAATTGGTATTATGAAATTGAACGTGTTTCATGTTATAGATTACATCTATCATGTCTTATACTTAAAATGTTATGCTTGTTGAACTTTCCAGCGATATAAACACAAATTATATATATATATTCATATAAAATTTCTATTCAGTTTTGACTGAATAAGGTTCTTTTTTCTTGCTTATTTCCGTAAAAATTTTTGTATTTTTAGAAAAAAAATAAACAAAATTGTATGTATGTCACTATTGTAAATTTCTCTTATTTAATAAATTCCTATTTCCTGTTTACTAAAACATCGAAGTAAATACATATTCGGGTATTAGAGAGAGAGAAAGCGAAGATTCTGAAGCAAGCAACACAAACAGCTGAACCTAATATTAATTTATTGATCTTGTACTGTTTGTTCATTATTCTAATTGTAAGTTGAAGTTTCTTACTTTCATGTAATAATGGTGCAATGATCATTATCCTCTAATCAATAGCAATAAAAATATTATTATTAGTATTGTTACTAATTAAAGATAATTGTTTTTGCATAATTATTAGATATATGAAAGTAGATGAAAGTAGTTAGATGAAAGATAGATGAAAGTAAGAAGCTCGAACTGAGAATAACAAAACAACAGATATAGCTCAATAAATTAACATTAGATCTAGTTGTTTGTGTTGCTTGCACTTTTGCAGCATCTTTGCTTTCTCTCTTTCTCCAACGCCTAAATATATATTTATTTCGTTTTAAGTGAAAAACGTTTAGAGATTTCAAGCAACACGAACAAATCTGACAAACTACTCGAAGAAATCGCTCACTGTTTTATTTCATCATGTTTTTTTCTTTGGGTGACCATTTTAGAGAATTTGTATTCGCGGGATTCAAACGATTCCAGATTCGATGGAAGGTAGCCAGCCGCGGAATAAAGAAAAATGCTGCGGACGTTCTAGATTCCGCCAACGTGTAACGACCCCGTCGAGAGTGCCTTGCATCCCGTGACGGTATTAACCTCGCCGCGGGCACGTGTTCCGAGGAGCGAGTCCTCTTTTATTACTTATTAGCGACACCCAAAGCGCATACTGACTCCACTCTCGCATCGCGCGCGCAGGCGATGCGATTTTAATGATGTGTTTCAAGGTCCCAAGGTCTCTGCCACGGATAAGCTACAGGGCCGCCTGATCCCGATGACAGCTAGCCTTAGCTGTAGAAGTTTTGATATCATTCTTTATATCAATATCTCTGCAATTCGAAATCAAAATGTGCCGATATTCTCCTATCCATATATATTTCACACAGCTAACACCATTTTATTTATTTATAAATTCCTTGGCAACTAATTTGAAGATATTTTTCAATTACCTCACTATATTGTTCTTCCGCTATATTGTTCGCGAGTTTTAAGAACAATATCAAAAAAATAAGAAATTACTACTATTTGCATACAATTTATATTCGATAGATGTAGGGAATTACACTCTGCGATTTTATTTTGAAGAGAAATAATACAAATCTTACAACGTTGGTGAAAAAAATGACATCTAAATAAGAATTATCCACATTGAGATGAATCGTTCGAAAACATTTTTTCCATTTCGTTGACATTTCATCAAGGATACAAAAGATCAAGAAACGAAAGAACTCGACATCATCGAGAGGCCGGGAGGCCGTCATGCCAACGAAACGACAATTTGCAAGGTTCGCGAGCCGCGCTCGTAGACGGCGATACGAGCAAAGAGACCTTCGTGCGATGGTCAGGGCCACGAGGTTCTTGCGCCGAGAGCGTTAATCTCGCGCTACGTGATCGTGCAAACTGCACACGCATTGCATATGCATACGGCGCGAACTTTTTTTGCATTCACCCGCCTGCAATCTCCGCCTGCGTAATCCTTACTTTATCAGAGTTACCACAAAATCGTAATCTCGAAATCGGTAGAACGAGATAACACCGCAAAAAAAATATCAATTATAATTTTAATTCCTTTAATCAAATTGGCACTTGCTTTTTTAATTAAAATATCAAAACATCGTATAAGATAATGAAATATAATCAAATAGCAAAGCCTATTATATATTTAAATATCTAAATTTTTCGAAACGAATTTATTGAATAATTTAAATCCAGTTTAGTTAGACTTTGAATATTATATGTATTGAGTTGTAAAATGTTATGATAAAGAATAAACTTTTCCAAAATATATTTTGGAAAGGAATCAATTTATATCCATCTAATGTTTATTAAAATGAAATTTTATGAAATTAAAATGAAATGAATAAAATGAAACATGCTAATCTTGTAGTATGTTATATGTACGTGTATATAATTAAGTAACTCTAAAATGTGTACATAATTATATATACATAATTATACATAATTATATATACATAATTATACATAATTATATATTTTATTATATGACATACAAGATTAGCATGTATTTCATTTTGATGTTATAAATAACATTACTACTTTAAATATAAAAAACTTTTTTTTTAATATAACGTACTTATAACTTTTTGAAATATTTTATTTACATTGAGATCAATTTCTTTTCAATTTTTACGATTCTGTTACAGAGATCTTAAAATGGAGAACATCGTATTGCAGGACGAACGCAAGGAACAGATCAAGATAGTAGGTGAGAGGCAGACGTGTATACACGGACGTCAACGTATCACGCGGGACTAGAGAACATTATGGTCGCAGTGATTGTGGCAATCGCCATCGATCGAACCGCGTAGATTAGCGTGCACCGCGAAAATCGCAACTATAATGTTTCCGCTCGCGTGACGCTTGATTTTCGAGCGTGAAATCAGATCCACCTGTGCTCCGCAGAGCTCCGCATAAAAAATTGCACTTGCAATGAAATTGGCCACAATTTATATAATTACGCAGAAACATAATACCCGTTGTTCTTAATGACCTTCGATTGCTATATACATATATTGCTATGATATATCTGATCTCAAGGCAACAAAAATATTAAATAGAATACAAAATATTTCTTATTTTTACAAATATTTTTTATTTGTGAAAATAAAAAAAAAATACATAGTCTTGTCTTCAAATATTTATTTTACTATATAATTAATATTTATATTACAATAAGCGGATTAAGCGATAATTACACAATTTAGCTTTAATAGCAATCGAAAGTTAAAAATTTATTTATAAAGAAAAAAACTTACCAATTCGATGACAGATGTTTTTCACAATTATAGACTTTGGTCTCAGCAATATTTACGCCAGCAGCGATCCTCTGCGAACGCACTGCGGATCTCCAGAGTACGCTGCTCCTGAACTCTTTGTCGCAGGTAAACGATATGGACCGGAAGTAGATTTGTGGAGCCTGTAAGTAAATCCAGATTTTATTAAGATTTTATTTTAAATAACTCGAACATCACATAGCATCAAGAAGTATTATAAATTTGGCAGTTTGGCTTAAAAGTTATTAATGCAATATAAAAATACATATAAAAACATTCTTTGGCGAAACATTTAAACACTATGCTATGATGTGACAAACAGAGGAGTCGTTTTATATGGCATGACTATCGGTCGACTTCCATTTCTATGCCCCCGCGACGAATGGACGTCGTCTGAGGAACGTCGACGGAGGCTGATGATCCAAATCAATAGAGGCTTGACGTCGATCCAAGAAAAAGCTATGTACCAAACGTCAATCGAATGCAGAAATTTAATAAACCGCTTGCTTATTCCATCGGTTCGTGAGAGAATCACCATTCGAGAGATTCTTGATCACCCTTGGATCCTCGTGACATCGAAAAACAACTTTCATTTTCACTCTGAAGACGACATGAACATTTCCAATCATGTCTCGGTAATATATGCAAGATACTTCACAATCCTCGATCACAATCGAGAAATTTGAAGAGAAAGATACATAAAAAATAACGTACATTATCTTCATGATTCTTTTAAATTCTGCTTTTGATATTTTTGATTTTATTCGAAGAATTATTTTTTCAAACTTTGATATATTGGATTGTCCGGAAAGTTCGTGCCGATTTTGAAGGAAAATTGAAACGCAGAAGATTTAAATTTTAGTATACATTTATTAAATTTAAATTTTTTGCGGCACGAACTTTCCGAACAATCCAATATTTCAATAATATATATTTTTTAACCGCATTTCAAATCATTTTAATTTGTTTCCCTGAAAATACTCCTATTGTTCACGGTAGATTTTTCAGTTTTAACAAACCCATGCTTTTATTATTCGCGGTAAAATTTTCAATTTTAATAAACCCTCTTATTTTCATGCTAGCTGCATGCCCTGCATTATTATGCACTGAATTTTCAATTTTACTGCCGCATTTATTCTGCGGTTTTTTTGGTCGACTTTAAAATATACGCCAATTAGTAACGCCATACGAAATATTCGTGCAAGGGGATTACATCGCTGATTATTGTAGATAATGAACGAGATCGCGACGGCAATGCGAACAACCACGGCTGCCGTCGAGGCTGAAATAATGAGACGAAAGTATGGAGAAATTGGTGGCATGTATAATATTAAGTAAGTACACCATTAAGGGTAATATTTTACAAGAAAGTTCTTTCACGTTATAATTTATTCATATTCGAACGTGTATGTAACTATTATATTTAACAGAAAGCACAAATTGTATCAAGTCTCTACTATTTATCACTTACCATCGCGACTTCTTCGAAATTCTATGTGTCAAACTGAAGAAATTTCATCGTCAACTACAACTATCAGGTGACAATTAAATATATAAAGTATAATTACATCCTTCAAAATACAAATCTTGAAAATGTGAACTTTTAAAAAATATTTCGGACGTAATCGATATTACTTTTAGAAAGAAAAATTCAGTAGAATTTATAATTAAATCAAATTTAAAATTTACTGAAATTTACTTAAGCTTTCTTTTATAACGAAAAGACTTATTTATTTTATTCTTATATGTTATTCCCTATTACAATATTTCGTTATATTAAATAATAGGCAATTAAAACATCTTTTATATATTATATAAGTATACACATATAGGCAGAAAAAAAATTTTTTTACATATAAAAAAAATGTTCTCTATATGTATGCTAGTAATATATTTTTGCAGAATTATTCAATAGCATGAAGATATTTCTTTACTATATTGATACAGAATGGCGAAAAGTAATTTACGAAATGGTACATCCGGGAACTCTGACAATACCAATCGCATAATCGTCATGCGACGCAGCCAGGTGCAAGATCGATCAGTCAAGAAATCCTCATTACACGGTTCCACGACGTGGAACTGGCGATGCCGCTCCGGAAACGAAAACCGCTCTTCCGAGGAACGGAGAAATTACGTAAAATTCGACTTCCTTTTGCCCCACATCTCTGATCCCAACGATTACGATCACGTCGATCATACGGAGTCCCTTATGTCAATTTCTCCTTTCAGGGGATTCGTTATGATACCACGAATACCACGTCCTTATCGCCCCAGTGTCGTGTGCCGCAAATTACAAAAATTCAGGCCGATAAGCTTTCGAATCGACGATCTTATAGGTGCCATTCGATAAAACGCTAAGAATAGAATTTTTTTACACACATAATAGACGTATATTAATTGTAAATAAAATCATTTGTTTATATAAAAAGTACATATTTTAATTTGAGGCCAATAAAAAGTATATATTTAATATAAAATCAATAAAAAATATGTATTTAATGAGGCCACAAACTTAAGATGTGAATATACATACAAAATTTTAATATTTTTTTTCTTTTTTCTTTTCTGAATTCCTTTAAGAATTGAATTGTACATAGATAAGAGAAAAAAAAATAGTTGAAGAATATTTGAAATTCTTGTATTTATAATTATATATCTGCAACTTAGACTCGTATTAGCCACATATTAAAGGATCTCACAATTATATGAAAAATTAATTGAAATGAATTTAATTTTCATATATAATGTAGCTTATAATGTGAACAAAAGATGTCATAGAAGCAACGCTTAATAATGCATAATAGTTTTTGAACTATGTTGTATCAAAAATGTTGTGAGCACAAATTTTATACTTTTGGTACATCATAATTCACAAAAACTATCCATTATTATTAAACCTTGTCTGTTACATCTTTTGTTCACCATATTATAAGCTATATCATATTCATGTTAAAATTAATTCATTTCATCAAGATCTTTCAAATTTTCTAAATAATTGATTCATATAATATAAAGGTCCTTTATAGTTATTATATTAATTGCCTTAATTGTCAACAGAGATGAAACGAAATCAAGAAGTGCTACATCTAATAGCATTTCCAAAAAAATGGAGAAAAAAGGTTGTGTCTCTAGGACGGGTAAAGTGGACTGCGAAATAATTCCTAGCCCTTCGACTTTGCAAACTCATTCGCGTATTAGTAGCGAGAGCGTGCCTACTTCGCGAATTAAAGTAAGATCCCAAATTTTTTAATACAAATCGATAACCCAAAAAACAATATAAAATTAGATTTGTAAACGATTCTTAGTTGTATAGACAATTAATAGCATTTATAATTAAATAAGCCGGTCTAGTTCTAATATTTATAGACTTATTTATAGACTTAATATTTATAGACTTATTATAGACATTATTATATTTTCAGGAGAGTTTTCATAAAAAGATACTTGCCCCACCGTGGCGATGTCGAGTCGGTAGTGTGAGAATTAGAAAAGACACATAAAACTATAAAAAGCGCCTTTGAACGAAGCGTAGAGAATAGAGAGAGCGAAGTTTTCGCCTTTCTGCGAATAGAAATTTGGTGAAATATGTATGTATCTATCGAGATTAGCTAGTTAATCTCGTTAAATTATTTGCAATTGTATGAAAAAATCTCAACAGCTCCAAATTGAATTCGTTTAACAAATAACAACCGTTATAAAGCTTTTTATTACTTTTTGTATTATTTTTGTATTATTTTTGTATTATATTTTGTATTATTTTTCGTGCAGTGATTAATAAAATTAGTGCATAACATCTTGCAACATCTCTTGTTCATGAGTAAAAAATGTTCTCTAACTCATACAAGAATCATTATCATATAATATACTTTTATACTATATCCTTGATGATAATTCGTTATTCCAATTTATATCTCTTAATAGAAGCTTTATTCATGCTTCTGTTGATTTTCTTTTTTGATTTAAGTTTGCATCATACAATTATTTTTTTAGTTTGCTATTGTACTGACAACCTCTGGCTGTTATGCTGGAATTTGTATAATTTGTTAGCTACTAAGTGGTTTGCTAGATTTTTGATAGCTCAGATGCTATTTTTTTTCTATAGGTTTGTTAGCATCATATGCTCCAACATGCTCCTGTAACTTACTCCAATGAGCGCATTACAGTAAGCAGAAGCTGTGATAGAGCATGATGGAGCATGTGAAGCAAATAAACCTTGATTTTATATCTTGATTTTATACTTGAATTTCGTTATGAAAGCCAATCAGGCAATCTTAAGTCATATGATCAAAATACTTTGTTTGCAATAATTAAAATGTAGTTATACATTTATATGTATTACTAGGAGCAAATGCTCCTAGTAAACACTAACAGTAACATAACGTCAACATTATAATTTCACATTTGACAATGTAAATGTTAAGCCTACAGCCTAACGCTTGCAATTGAAAAATACAGAGAAAAATGTTCTTAAATCAACAAAAGACTAGAATGACATTTTGATGAAATCAAACAGAATTTCTGAAAATCAAAATGATTATGATATTAGAAATTCTGTTTGGCCAAAATGCCATTCTCTTGGGTTGGTCTTTTTATTTAACAGGAAATAGAACCAGGGAATAACAGATTTCAATCAAATACATTTTTTTCTGATAAATTACAATCTGTCATTCCGTTTTCCTATTGTCTGTGCTTTTTAATTGTGTCTCAGAGTGTCTTCTATTTAATGACACACAAGTTGACATAAGTATTGTTCTATTTTTATTTTATTACTCATGGAATGCAAAGAAAGAAAAACATTTGTGTCGACTTGTATCACTAAATGGGAATCACTCTTTACATACAATATGTGTTATATTACATTTGTATTGTTGAATGTGAAATTAAAATATCGATGTTATGTTATTTCTGGTCGATTTATTGGACAATGTACTACAATAGCAACAATTTTTCTCCATATTTATTCAGATACTCTCACACAACTTCAAGAGACATGAAGACGTCCTTAAGATGTAGAACATCCTATGGACATCTTAAGACATCCCTTAGAGATCTGTGCTATACAAGTCCTCACACATTTGATTTTTTATTTCCTCAAGGACGATATTAACAACAAATTATAAAACAATAATACAATAGACAGTTAATAATTACCTATAATCTCAACATTCCATTGCTGACTGACGCCGCACTTTTCGAGAACAAAATAGCAGCCATTTTGAGCGGCCACGCCAAATTCTCTGTCTTGTATGTAAAATACGATACTTGTATGCAAAACGCGTCAACAATTCAACATGTCGCAGTTACATTCGAGCTGCAAAAAGTGTCAGACTTTAGCGCATTTCCATTATACAATTTTTTTATTTTCGCCAGAGATAACACAACAATGAATAATTGTATAATACGGGCAGTTCCTAAAATCTGTCCAGCACTTTCCATCGACAACCGACGCACTTTTCGGAAACAAAATAATAGCCATTTTGAGTGGCTAGGCCAAATTCTTTGTTCCGTATATGAAATAGGATTGCAAATCGCATCAATATGTCGCGGTTTACGTTCGAGCTGGATAAAGACAAGTATCACACTTTAGCGCATTTCAATTATACAATCATACAATTTATTCTCGCCAGAGATAACACAACAATGAATAATTGTATAACAATACGGACAGTACTTAAAATCTGTCCAGCACTTTCCGTCGACAACCGACGCTGACCGACGTCACGCTTTTCGGAAACGAAGTAGCCGCCATCTTGAATGGCCGCGCGCCAAATTCCCTCGTTCGCGAAATATGATATAAAACGCGCCCTTACGCCGCATTCTACATTCAAACTATAACTAAACGTGCACTTTACGTAGACTTTAGCGCATTTCAATCATACAATCATACAAATGCCATATTTTAGATTCGACGACATATACTTACATTTCGAATGGAGAAGACGCTCGATAAGCGCGGGATATAACAAAAATTGACTTATGGCTCCTTCACAAGGGACGCGATAACGCGACTTGCCGCGCTGCGGAAATTAACACTACAGCTAATTAATTAAATCAGCTATGGCTAATCATTCTTTTATGGAAAAGCGGTAAATTGATTAGTTACCGCGCCAATTTCCGCGGTAAACATCGCCGCGTTCCGTGTTACACGAGTCACATAACGGCTCAATTTCAAACTGGCAGTTAGGATATCATGGGGGAGGGAAGAGAGTGGGGGAAAGAAGGACCACCGAATGTTTGAAATAAGTCTCACGTCGGTCGGTAAATACGATCGACAGTCGAGTGAAAATTACCGATATAACTATCAGTAGAAAAATATCGTGTTGTGAATCTCAAACGTGCGAATATTGCAATAAACTTTTCAAAAGCGTCGCGGTTTTTTAAGATACTAAGTATGAAAAAACGATAAATTCGCGGAATGGCGAAACGCGGAATCAACGCGAGACCAATAGCGTGCGTGGTTCGCGGAACGCTCAGGCGCCAGCCAATCAGGTTGAACCACATGGACTTATCACTTCGGCTGATGTCGTCTGGTGTCGTCGGCGAAAGAGACCGAACGAGTGCAACGCATTGCGTCACATGTACGTGTGACACGATTGACAAGCATGCCACGCTTTGCTATTCGAAACAAGACTGTGAAAAACTGCCGCGAGGAGGAATGCTGCCGGCATGCTTTTACGATTATTACGTACATAATGGGAAGACCTCTTACGTGAACGTGAAACGCGGGGATGCCACGGATCCTACGAGCGGTATGATACCGAAACTCTTCATTCCTATCATTTTCATTCTTGGGATTGTCATCGCTGTCATCAGTACGTTGTTATCGAAATATTTAGGTGGCCTGTCCACCGATTCCACGGGTGAGTTGCAACTGATATATCTACTCTTTCAATGAGAGATTGTACACTTTATGTTGTCTAACGTTTCTGGCAACTTGCAGCAAGAGCTATTTTACTTTTGAATCAGAAGAGCTGAATGATGTTTGTGTTAATTGTCTACTAAAAAGAGAGCAGCTAGATGATACAGAATAACATATTGAATCATTGGATGCTTTTCATTTAATACAAGTTGATACAAGAGAATGTTAAGAAAGATAGAATAATGTTCGACTTGTGTCACTGAAAAGCATTCGTTATATCTTTATTTTTTGTCAATATTGAACAAAGATGAATGATTATTGTGTTACACTGTATCTCTTGCTGGAAAGTTACTATATCTCTTGTCTTGCAGTTAATTATGCTATCATTTGTAAGCTGTGATTTAAATATAGTTAATGTCATAAATAATTTATTCTGTTGTCTTTTTCTAGAACAGGAATTTTATCATGGTCATTCTGTGTTCGTGCCGCTT